ATGTTTTGTATATTCTAAATAAGGCATGAGTAACCAGATTAACTCATGAATTCATTTATATAGCATACATATATTTAATGTACTTTAAAAATCCCTCTGTTGTGCTAAACTCCTAATATATAAGGATGAGAAAGGCCTGAATCTTCACCTCAAGAGACTCTGTTAAGAACCCTCTTTTTAGGTTAAATTCGACATCTCCACCCGCATCTGAGTGTATTTATTAGTTTATAAGGTTCATTGAGCCAAATAAATTAAGTTTTTTGAGCGGCACATTGTTCTGTCTATCCTTTATTAAGTTTTGTGGATAGGATGAGGTGGGTTCAACAAACGGCCCTGAACTCCAAGAGCTGAAAGTTTACTAGCCCACATATTTTTGTATGTTATTAGCACTAAAACTGTGTGCTGTTGCTGACTATTAAGGAAAAATTAAAGAAGAAAACATAAAGGAAGATTTTCTCCTGATTGAATGCGTCTCCATCATTTGGTGGATGCCTCCACTGTAATTTATAGTGATTAAAATTGAGTCATTAAAACTATGACATCTAAGTTTCATCCAAACTTGGAGCCTAACTAGAATCTAAACATTGCTAAAGTATATAGCAAAAAGAAATCTATTTGCTTTCTTCCCATATGAACGCTATCTTATACTGTAATTCCAGCTATGTTTCCAACTGCAAGTCATCAAGGCAGGTACTGACAAGGTATTTGGGGATTTCTAAATCTGTTTCTTGGCTTTGAATGTTGGAAGTGATCCTATCGAAAACTATAGAAAACCTTTACTTGTAAAGTGTTGTGCATATCAGAAAAAAGTACAGAACTTATTGTAGAGTTTATTTTGCTGATAATATCACTTAGTAACATCTGGATATTTAATAAAATGTATCATCCCTCTTGGGTAAATGTATATTGTTGTCACAAATACATCATTACAGTGTTCTTTCACTAGGTAGTGTATCAAATCTGCTGTTCCAATAGCCAGAGAGATGGTTTTGTATTAACCTTTATGTAAGTTGTAGCTCAATTCCACCTGAATGGAAAGATTCTAATCTCCAAATCTATGGAAATCATGGAGATGGGAGAAGTTCACGGAACAGATCTGTCACAGACACGGTCAAGTATTTTTCTTGTCAGTTGCTTAGCTATTTAGAAAAGTCAAGCCTGCAAGAAGGAAAAGATGAAAAAGAGTTGAATAAGGCTAGACTATTTTTCAGACCTAAAACTCTCTGATCCTATTATGAGAGGTTAAAACACTGTTGTCTAAAAAAAAGGAATACCATTTTTGTTGAAGAACTGAAAAGTCATTCTGACATACATTCCAAATTTTATTAATCATCAGTACTTCCTCGGTATTAGGCTTGGTTTGCTTTGTTTATTTTTTGGAAACCATATTTACATTCTGGATAAAATAGGTTATATTTTTAGTGCTTGGTAAAGTTCTTATTTAGACACCGGCTTCGCCGCTGCTGTCTCATGGGAGTCAGGAAGGGTGAGTGCAAGGAGCACATCCAGGATCGAGAGCATTTGTTCTCACCTGTTCCTGGAGTGCACGGGGTCAGCGTGGCAACCAAAGGTCCTCGTGGGAAATGGTAATTTAAACGTGAATTACAAATTATTAGAAACGAGTTCAGACTTTAACCACTTGAGTTCTGCTTGGGGCCGATCCTGTCCTCTGTACATTGTCCAATTAAGTAATAGAAAACCTCCAAACTTGAGGTCACACATTTTCTCAAAGTACATACACTTCAGAGTTTTTTAACATATTCTTGAAGATTTAGCTGTACATTTCTGGATAGATTGTTACTCATTTAGCATTTGATGTATTGAATTAGTAACAACAAAGGAAGAAAAAAGCCAGTCTTTCAACTCAGATACTTATAGTTTTTGAAAGGTAAACATAAACATCTTCATTTTGAGTATTCAGATTAGCTTGATTGTCAATAAATAACATTTGATCTTTTAATCAATAAATGAAATCATATGTTAAATATAAGCTCATCATAAGTTCAATAGTCATCTCTCTATTTTCAGATGGTATATCACTAAAAACCAAAATAGCCTATGGAAAATCTACTGTAAACCATAGTGTTGTTGAATAGAATGACAAAATTGAAATTAATATATAAAAATTGAATAAACACATATGAACAAAAACTATTGGAAGGTATATTAAAATAGAAGGCCCAATTTGTGATTAAAAACCCACACAAAGATACACATAGATATAAGCTCAATAAGAAGTGCTCAAAATCTCTGTAAAGAAAATCATACAGCAGCCAGGTGTGGTGATGCATGTCTGCAATCCCACCACTTGGGAGGCTGAAGCAGGAGGATTGCTGTGAGTTGAAGGCCAGCCTGAAAATGCATCTTGAGACTATAATGTTAAGTGAAATAAATCAGATATACAAGCTTAAATATCATATGGTCTCTTATATAAGGGACACACATATACAAAGTGCGAAATAAAAGACTGATGGTAAGAGTAGATCTTTTTCAAATGGGAAGGGGACTGAGAGATGGAAGGGTGGTGGTGAGTGGGAAAGGGATGAACAAATAATTGAGATATGTTATGTACGTGTAACATGACAACTCCCCATGAGGAATGTAATCATTGTGTACTACAAGCATTGTGTACTAGTAACAAATACAAACTGAAAAAAAGCAAAAATGGATTAATGCACAGTATGTGCTATAATACCTTTATTAAATAACATGAAAACGTGACTAGACAGAAAAAACAGACCAAATACATATGAACATATAGCACAAAATAATCTTAGTGTGGAAAAGATTCAGTTCTTAAGTAGCTGGCATGGAGGGATGTTGGCATGGAGGGATGGCAGTAAGTGAAGGAGAAAACCTGTTTCTTTCTCTTTACTGGGCACCAGGATGAATTCCAAATGTGTCAGACAGGCAAACCACGTAAGAACAGAAGTGAAGCATGGGTGAGTACCAAACAGCTTAGACACAGAAAAAACTTTCCTAACTATGGCCCAGGTACAAAACAGCAAGGGAAAGTACTGATACCTTGAGTGTGCAAAGTACTAAAATAAATGCAACATCAAACTTCTCTATGGTGAGAACAAGTACCAGAAGAATACTTACCAAGAGCAAAGTAAAACTGACAGAGAAAATGTTTGTTATTTTGTTATAAAAAATTAATATTTTTTATTTTTATATAAAACCAAAGCTAATAGTTGTAATGTATCAGAAGCTCATAGGTATTGGGCTAGTAAGGAGGGAAGGAGGTCATCAGTGATAGCGTTCTTGCCTCATGTGCAGTAAGTTCAACTCCAGTACTGAAGAACACAAATGTGTTTGCAAGAGCTTGTCATGTAGAGAAGAAATACATTACATAGATGCTATAGAAAAGAAGGCATGGGCTTTAAATAGATTACAAATACAAGTGATCCTTAACTATTTACAACCACGCTCAACATTGTTGGTGAAGGACTCAACACTTTCAAATCACATGGAGATCCTGCTTCTCATTCATGAGATTGTCCGTGACCCAAAGGTTCGGCACATCTCTTTCTATATTCTCATACAAGCTTGTAGGGACAGAGAAATGTACAACTTCAGGTGGAGGGAAAGTTGACAATACCTATTAACTGGCACAGAATTCTTACTTTTAAGGCCTGTTTATTATTTGGATCAAAAAGCCCAAGCCTCAGGTATTCAGAAGTAGGGGGTTGGAAGGTGATTAGACCAGGGGGCTCTTACTTCATCAGTGGATTAACCAAGTGCTTTAGGAAAGTCACTAAGGACAGTTTCTCTTGTACTTCTAAGACCTTTGTAGTTTCAGCTCCACTTGTATTTGTGTCAACTCAGATTCTCATATGAAAGTTATTTCCTGGGATTCTTACAGTGGCTCCCGTTCCCTGGTTTAATTTCAGCTACCACAGTATCCACACCAACTTGAGGACTAAGAGTCACTTGTATCTCATTCTTTTTCAGTTCACAGTGGATGATCTTTTGGACTACAATTATCTCAAAAGCCTATTTGGATTTTTGTCTATTTGATTTAATTTAGTTACTTGCATCACTAGCTACACTAGTAATTCTTTTTGACATGAGGAAGACCTCTGAAATTAAGAGCAGACACATTAAACATCAGATTTTCATGTGGAAACTCTAGATTTAGCATATTCTCTCCCTGCTGTTTGCCTAACTGAAAGATTTTTTTTTTTTTAATTTGCTTTCTTAAACAATTCAAAAATCTCAAAATGGGTTTTATGGTGATATGTTTGACTTGGTCTTTCCCATGAAGCTTCTTTTTAAATTGTTTTGGTCATTCAAAGTTCACTTTTGATATAATCTTTTTACCTGTTGGAGATGAAAACCAGTTGCATTCTTAAACACAGAAAGATTTTCATTTCCTTTACTCTTTCTTACAAACTACCCAGTTTTTTTCTGACTTCATCTCTTATTGTAGTACCTTGTCTAATTTAGCCAATAGCAACCAAGGTACTGCATTTGCATTATGTCTGTCATTTTCCTCTTAAAGACACAAACCCAGTACCTTATCTTCCTCCCTGGTTATTTCAGTTTGTCCTTACATAATGAAGGACATTGACTTTTCATTACAGACAAATTTTCTGGTCAGCAACTATCCAGAAGTAAACTAATGCCACTTATATTTAGTTTTCTGTTAGGAGAGCAACTCACACTGGGGATGAATATCTCAGTAACCTTAGGACATACCATGCTATAGCTTGGCTCTGTTAGGCTAAATCTTAGTTGTCTTGCAGTGAAAATAATCATTTCTCATTCACATTATAGGCTTATCACAGGTCAACTGAGAGTTGTTTCCACATTTTCAATGGTTTCCTCTCCAAGGTAAAGGAAATAGCATTTTTTCCAAATGTGTACAGCTAGAGAGAGAACAGAACATGGCAGAACCACATGAAGAAGACATGTGAATCTTCTCCCTGCAGTGGCCCAGGGAATTTCTAAATATGTATATTTCATTGGTCAAACAAGTTCTGACTTCATCATTACAGGCATGCACCATCTTCTCCAGAAAGGAACACTTCTAAATTATGGCCGTGACTGAAGTCCGTGAAGCAGGTTGGTACACTTCACTCACAAAGACATCGTTGCTGGGCAAATAGCTATACTTGATATTTCATGAGCTGAAAGGTGCAATCTCCCAAATGTAGGGGCAGATAATATTTTTACTAAGAAGGTAATCTCTTTTATTTCATCACCTTTCACAATCAACTTAGTAGCAGCATGTGTTTTATGTCCTGGGCTATAACTATATGTAAATGGCTGGAATCTAAACCCATGATGCCAGAAGCTATCTTTCGTTCAGTTATGGAATATTTCTGGGGCAGAATTAAAAGTGTGTATGCGTTTGTATTTAACACAAGAATTCTTTTAATCTATTATTGATAACTTCTACCTGGTGACTAATCTAAAATGATAACATTAACATTTTCTTTTTGAACAATAATTGCTGATTATAGCAAGACATTTAATTTTCACAAATTTCCTAGTAACTATTTGTAAAAGAAAACAAAGAATTCAAAAGATGTAGCTACTTAAATACGTGGACCTACAAATGGAAATGTTTTCTTTATGCTTTAAACTTGTATTTTACAACCATGTCAATTCTTAGCTATTTTCCTACTTGTGGATTTGCTTAAGACAAAGCCCTCTAGTGTTTCATCACACTGTGGATGATTTTCAAAAGAAAATATTACTTTATGATAGATTCAGAAAACTGAACTCTGTTCTTTTACATGCTGAAACATTTATTTGGTACTTATTTGTCATTTTTTGTGAAAGATGACATACTAATTTGTGAGGAGGTTTTAATTGTACACATTTCAAAAAATTACTTTTTTAAGTAAGAAATTGTATAATAAGTGCAGTAAGCAATGAAAATATGTGTCAAAATTCAAAATTAAAATAATATAATGTAGAAAGAACTGTGCCTTGGAGAGGTGGGGAAGAACCTTGCCTCGAGTGTAGTAGATTACAGTCTTATCCAGTCTTCTATTATCCAGTGTCTAGCTCTAGTAAATAATCTATTCATTTCTTTGCTATGGCCTTATTGTATACACAGTACAGTTCCTGCCTTCTTGACTTGGTCATGTGATTTGATGTAACCTAGAAGGTAGTAAATATGAATAAGTTGAAACCACAGGTTTGAATTTGCTTTTCTGCCCTTGCATTGCTGCCCTTCTCAAGTGGCAGGAGATCATGGCCTGTATTCCTCCAGCCTAGGCCCCAGAAAGAGGCTCAGAAGGGTAGCCCTCCTAGCCTACCTTCAGGCAGGAGAATCCAAAACATGTGGTCTCTGTGGATTGCACTGAGTTTTTGTGGCCAAGTGTCATACAGCAAAAGCTGACAGGTTGTAAGACTCAAGACCTAGCTTACGCCTGCCTGGCAAGCGCAACGTCGTGAGTTCGGTTCCCGGTACCGGAGAAAAACCAAAAAAAAAAAAAAAAAAAAAAGACCTAGCTTATAGGCTCAATTTTTGCATAAGTATCAGGTATATGATAAGTTAGATAGGATCTCTTTCTATGAGCAGGCTCTCGTCTCTAAATGAGGATAATAATATTGATGTTACAGCCTTGCTTTGGAGATAAATTAAGGCAGTATTAAAGATGTGAAGACACATCTTTAGTAATTGTAAAACATTATTAAAAGATAGTATTTGATTTAGAAAACAAATAAAAGCAGAAAAACAGATCTGGATCACAAAAACAATGTTATGCATTTGGTTTTTGGCTGAACAATTTGACAGTAGTTGGATAAAAATCTGATACAAAAATTATTTCCTTATAAGTCATTGCTTCTGAAATTTATTTGATGAGACAAATACTCTCAGGTATTTGTGTTTTAAAAAAAGAGAGAGAAGAGAACAACAAAGGCAGAAAGTAAAAATTGAAAACTTGAGTTACAAACTTACTTTGTCCAGATATTTTTACATATAAAATACAGGTATCAGATGGAGTCTGGAAATTTATATATATCAAGGATTTTTAGGATTAGGCAAATTTGGGAGATGTTATGCATATAGATAAAGTATCCTGTAAATAAAAATTGATATAATTATGAATAGGCCAAATTTTGATTAAAAGACAACCAGATTCTAACAATTCGTTTGCAAATACTAGAAGAAAACACTTCTGATTATTAAAAGATTTAAGAATATGAAGAAAAATGCTGTTAGTACTATGTTAAGCTATGGTGCTAAGATTCTCAACAATTCTTTAAAATTTTTCATAGCCTTGCTATTAGAGGATATACAAGAAGACCAAAAGTAATAGTAACCCTGAGGACTGCAGTAGAGTGCAGTAGTAGAGCACTACAAATGGCATACACAAGATTCTGGATTTGATCATCAGCACAAATAAAATTTAAAAATTAAAAAGTCAATAAAGAAGTTGTATTACATCTGACTTATTGCATTTTTTATATTTTTTGGAGTCTACAGTAGGATTAAAAAATAAGGCTGCCATACTGTGTCTAAATATTTAAATTTTATGCAACAACCTAAAAAGCTTTGGACATATTTTACCTTCCTATTTTTACAAACATAACTTTCATATTATACATAGAGCTTCAAATTAAAAGATACGGAAATTAAACCTATGATTTTTGTATGAGTAGAAGTTGGTGAAATATCAAGGATACCTGAACTCAATAATCAAAATGAATTTTCTATGGATGATTGGTGAGGTTTGAATAAATAATAAAATACAGGTAACATAAATCATACGTAATTATATATTTATTTCATAAAATGTATTTTATTTTTATTTCAGTGAAATTACAAGTTGTCATGATGGGAATTATTTTATAATCAACAGTATCATATAACAGCCTGAAGAAATCAGAACAGAAATGAGATCACTACTCAAAATGTATAAAATGTGAATATATTTTAATCAAAAAGTGTATTTGAATTAAATATAAAAATAAAAATGAAATTATTTTTTGTTTTCATAATTTATTTTTCTTTACATATTCAGATACATTAGAAAACAGAAAGCATGTTAAAATGAATACCGTAAAATCAAACTATCAACTAACATTAAGGTTAATACATTAATTTAATTTAAAAAATTCTTTTATTTGTACATTTTTACAGTACATAATGATTACATTCCTAACATGATACATATACAGAACACATCGTAATTCTTTTCTCATGCCCCTTCCTTCACCTCCCTCCCCATTCCCTCCTTGTCTTGCTTTCTTTCACATTTGAGAAAGTTCTGTCTCTATTTCCTATTATTTATCTTTTATCCTGTACTTTATTTAGATATTTGATTTCTCATATAAGAGAAACCCTGTGATACTTAAACTCGTGTGTCTGATTTACTTCACTTAACATTATGTTCTCGAAGTGCATCCATTTTCCTACAAATGCCTCATTTATCCTTTTTATGGCAGAGTAGTACTCCACTGTGTATAAATACATTTTCTTTTCCATTATATGATGGACATATAGGCTGGCTCCAAGATGGAACTATTATGAATTGTGCTGCTATGAAGATGGGTATAAATATGTCACTATAATATGTTGTCCTTACTTTTGAAAATTTAATTGTATCTTATTTTAAATTTTTATAAAACTCAAATTCTTTGCAAATGCAGCTTAGTGTTTACTTAGTTACCAAGGTAAAGAGAGCAACCATGTCTAGACCAATATACATGTACATTCAAAAGTAATACACACTGTTTATTAGTGCAACACATTACTCACCTGCAGTCTGTAGCTTCTATAAATGCCATGGCAATCCACTGTGCTCACAAAAATGGAAGAGGAAGAGAAGAACTGAGAAACAATGTTTGTGTGGGAATATCCTGGCTGAACTTCGAGTGAGAAAATTATTTGTGTGTCAGCTAAGTACTTTTGCAACTCAGTTCTTGTCTGTACTCTCTTAGAGCTTTGTGCTCCTGTAACATAGTATCACAGTTTAAGATAATGTATAGAGGACACAATGCGTTCTTTCACAATTGTGAGGCCGGGAGATCTAAGGTGCTGGCATCTGGTTGAGGCTTTCTGGCTATATTCCAGTGAGGTGGAAAGCCACAGAACAGAAAGGAGGTGAACATTGTGTCCCCACTGGCAGAAGGACAGAAGGCAGTGACCTCACTCCTGTGAGCCAGTTTAGTTGTGGCGTGAAGCTGTACATGACAGCAGAGCTCTTGTGACTTACACACATGCCAAAGGTCCCACCTCTTCACACTGTGTTGGGGCTTATTTCAAACACACGGGGTTTGCTCAAAAATATTCAGTCCGTACCAACTGGGAAGTGAAATCTGGGTGCTAAGGCCAGAGGTAGCACAGCCTTCAAAACTTCATCAAATCTGGGGATAGTTGCTAGTAGTTCTGAATTATGGGGAAGGAGTTGTGGAACAGCAATTGCCTGACAATTGAATGGTGTTAAGCATGAAGCAGGTGTTTAGAGATCTGGTTACACAGGCCCAATGTAATAGGAAGGGTGCTGGGTGGCAGAAGCACCTGTGTATTCTTTAGAAGTACACTTGTGTATGTGTGTGTGTGTATGTGTGTGTGTGTGTGTGTGTGTTCATGGACTAAGAATATGTGGACCCTCTAAAGTGTGGACCTCTGGACTTTTTTAATGGAGAGTGTGAAATAGCAAAGTGGTTGAAAATAGTTCATGTTTAGAAGGAAGTAGGTAGTAAACCTTTGAGTTATGCCTTACAGGTGTGTAGCATGCCAGTGACAACTACCTTATGCTATTAGTTATATCCTTTCAAGTAAGGATAAAAATATATGGCAATCCAAAAGAGTCCTTTCTTCCTTCCTTAACCACTCCTGTTCTGAGGTACCCACATGCACATTTGTGTCTGCCCTGTTGTAGTTTTTGTTATCTTTCAAGGTTGTAACCAGTGTCTGTTTAAATTTAAAGCTAATTATTCAGTAAAAATGCTGAGATCCAGAAGCCCTAGTAAGATGTTTTATTCCAGTCACTGAAATCCTAGGATTGTCTAAATTCCCTCAAGAGAGTGGTGAAGTGAAGAACCTTCTCCTTTGGAGAAGAAAGCTGCGGATTTGGTTCTTGGCATAGACCGATTCTCATTGCTTAATTCTCTCTTGGAGAATTTTGATGGAACCATAACCTACTTGGCCAGATTTAAAGCATAATCTACCTTTCCAAGAAGGTTAATAATAGTCTCAGAACACCCCAGTTTAAATACACTGCCTTAGTCGGTTTTACACTGCTTTAGCAAAGCAACGAAGACTGAGTGATTTAGAAAGAGAAGAATATTCCAGGGGCTGCGAAGCCCAAGAGCAAGCTTGGCATCTGCTTGGTGTCTGAGAGGACCTTCTCGATGCATTAAACATGATGGAGACTTCATGTGACAAGGCAGAATGTGAATCAGTTCAGGTCTCTCTTATTATTATTAGGCTACCTGTCCTATCATGCAAGCCACTGCTTGATGATGTATTTAGTCTTAATTGCACCCTAAAGACCTCTCCAAATATGATAAATGTATGAATTTAGGGATCTTTTTCTACTACATAAAATGTGGAGGATGTATTCAATCCCTGCCATACACCAAAGAGGAAAAAGAAGAGCGAGCCATAAAGTTCCCACTGCAAGAGGATGACACATACTCTTGTTTAGTTAACATCCCTGCTAATCATAAATACCAGGGTCACTTGAACAAATGACTTGTTTTTGCACACCAGAACTCACTTAAATTTTCAGGCCTCCATAATTTCAAAATCAATAAATACTTATTATTGTTCCTATTTCTACTGCTGAATAAATCACTAGGTTATTTTATGTCTTAATTCTTAACCATGCTATATAAAAATATTGATTTCAATAGTTTTTGCACCACTAAAAGGGGATGTAATTTATACATACACAGCCCTTTGGCATGGTGCCTAACACAATGAGATTATTGCTACAAATAATGTGTGAAAGACTTTTATTTTCAAGATCATTTATTGAAGTAAAACCATCGTACTTCCATGTGTACAAATGGTAAGTTTAAACTGTGTTGAAACTTCGGAAAGTGAGCACACCTGTGTAATCTGTCTTCAGATTAAGAAATGGAATAGATCAGCTCACAGAGGCTCCCTCTTCTGTTCCTAGTGACTGTCATCTGAAAAAATAGCCATGACCGGATTTATAGCACCACTGGTAGTGTTGCCTGGTATGGTACTTTACATAAATTGAACCTCACAGTGGGACAGTTTTCATACCTGCTTTAAAGAAATATACACACATCTTCAGCATTACATTTGTGAAATTCATCCATATTTTGGCAATTTAGCAATAATCTGTCCATTTGCTTTGGTATATAATGCATTTCTATTTGAATGCACCACAATATCTTTACCCTTTTTCCAGTTAACGAGCACTCATTTCCAGGTTTGGGCCACTGTCAGTGACGTTGTTATGAATGCTGCTACACAAATCTTTTAATGTGCAATGGTATGAATGCAACATATGAATTACTGGGTCTTAGAGCATGCCTGTGTTCAGCTTTAGTTGATAATGCCAAGCTATTTATAAAGTGATGGCGTCATTTCGCACTCCCGGGGGTAGTGCATGCTTGATTACTTCCTTACCCACTTCACCAACACTTTTTCAACCTTTTCCATTTTAGCCATTCTGGTGGGTATGTATTGCTATTTTATTGTGTGTTTTATTAATATGCACAATTTCTCTGATGACTAATGACATGCATATTTTCATAAATGTAATGGTCATTTGCATATTCCTTTTCTGTGAGGAACTGGCCAAATCTGCTCATTTTTTAAAAACAGTTATTTATAAGGGATATTTTATGTCTGAATTAGAGCCTATCATGTATATCACAAATATTTTCTATTCTTTACCTTTTTGCTTTTTTAGTGATTAATTTTTTAAAAAAATTGGCCTTGGGGATTGGTCACAGGGCCCAAGACCTCCCCACACTATTGTGTACTTTATTTAGGTCAGGGTTTCATGAACATTTTACATGACCCAGACTGGGCTCGAACTTGCATTCCTTTTGCTTTAGACCTCCAGAGCGCTGGGATTACAAGGGTCCATCAACATGCTCATGTTCTGAAAGATGTTTTCTGTTGAAAAGAAATTCTTAATTTTAATATACTGTGATGTACCCACTTGGTCTTAATTAGTGACTTTTTGCATCTTATTTAAGAAATCTTTTCTTTACCCAAGTGATGAAGATATTTGTCATATTTACTTTAAAAAATATTTGTGGTATAGCTTTCTTTAAGAAACAATTTTCTTACTAAGTACTGTAAAATATACCAATAAATATTATTAATTTGAAAAAGCTAAACTTATTTTATGTTTATATTATTATAAAAGTATTTCTTGGAGTTTTGTCTTTTGGTGTTTTTGAGACAAGGTCTTGCTATGTAATTCAGGCTAGCCTTGAACTTGCTATATAGCCCAGGCTGGCCTCAAACTCTCAGCCAACTTACCTCAGCCTTCCAAGTGCTGGGATTACTGGTGTGCACCACCATGACCGACTATATAAATATTTCTTGAAGTGGTGTCTAAATAAGGACAGAGATACTAGTCTCAGTGGCTGCATATGTAAAAGAAAAAATGCTGAGTTATGTAAATGACTATGCAAGCATTAAAATGGATAAAAGGAACCAACAAAGACACAAAGAAACATGGAATACATTTTTCTTTTTCTTTCTGTTTTTGAGTGGATGACTGTGAAGAATGCATGGAAAAGATGGCATTTTACCCAAACCCCCAGCATGGAGGAATTTGGGCACGAGATGGAGAGAAGTCATTTTGCAGTGGACACAGACTAAGCAAAATCACATATCAGAATTGAAAAAGTGTGCCATACAAAAAATCCTCAATTTACAGAAGCTTAATTTATGATTCTTTTGTAATGCTGCAAAAGTGAT